GCGTCGTGCACCGCAAGCCGCGGCTGTGCACGTTCCCGCGCTGCAAGCAGCTGGCGCTCACGCGGGGCGTGAATACGACGCAGCTGTGCGCCGACCACACTCAGACGATCCAGCATAGTACTAGCATGGACGCGCGGCCAGCGCCTCGTGTCTAACTTGATAAGAACGACCATGTGTCTCGAAACGCAGAGGCATCGCAGTGCCAAAATTATGGCGACGAGCAGTTGCATCATGCGCCGATGGCACCCAACATGATGATGGCTGCACTGTACTATAGACTTGTATGCAGCACCATGCACGGTAGAAGCCAGTGGGCTGGTTTCAACACGGTCGCTCCTACTCTTGACGGCAACAAGCCGCTTGAAAACTCGCTTTCTGCACGACGCTCGGTCGCTTTGCGGCGTGATCCAGTAGTTAAAACGCGAATACTAACTGTGTTGCACCAATCTGCAAGTAGCTTTTGCACAGGTGCGTGGGTGCTCCTGCAGATTGATTTGTACATGGAAGGAGGATCGGCTGGCGCCAAAGATTGCATCATCGCACAGGGTTGTTCTTAGATCGCTTCGAGTGGATTTTTGACCAATCGCACACCCGGAATCATATACAAGGACTCGGATTGGCTACAAGGGGCCAATCCGCGCAGCACCGTCTCGCGTAAAAGCAGAGTACTATCGGCTGAGAATCTCAGCAGATACTACACTGCACGTATCTCAGCCTGCGATGGCTGCTACGAGAAGAGTTGACGAGGCCACTCAAGCTGGACACACACGTCCCTGCCTTGATAGTCACAGGAGGCTTTTGTCGCGGCGCCGTTGCCACATGTTGGCAACAGGCAACCATTTTTTGTCACGTTTCCTGCCGACTGGATACTCCAGAATAAATGCCACGTTCATGTGGACCGCCATTCCACGATTGTAGTATGCCCAGCGACGACGAGTCCGAGTACAGCCTCGGCGACGACGACGACGCCGGTAGCTTGGACTGGGCCATGTCGTCCGACGCGTTGGGCACTTTTGTTGACGATGTGGCGTCGGCGCTCTCGTAGGCTCCACGATCTGATCTCTTCAACGCATGCTCATTTCCCCTCTTCTGCGAACTAGTCGAGACAATGCCATCGCTGCTGCATTTGGGACGCCATCAGCGCAACAGCAACAAATGTCCCCGCAGCGATTGCACAATGCCAAGCGTCCGGTCAAGACGTCGCCTCCGAAAGAGATCCACGGGCGGTGTCTTACGCCAAACTGCCCGGTCGCCCTCACGTACCGAGGCTTTTGCAAGGCCCACGGAGGCACTCGGCGCTGCAACGTCGCCTACTGTCCAAAGGGCCGTCAAGGGGGCGCTCAGTTTTGCATTGCGCATGGCGGCGGCAAATGCTGCAAGACAGACGGCTGCGTGCGCACGGCGCAGTCGCGCGGTCTCTGCAAGGCCCACGGAGGCGGCGCGCGCTGCAAGAACGACGACTGCGACAAGAGCGCCCAGCGCGGCGGCTACTGCCGGTCGCACGGCGGCGTCCAGCTCTGCTCGGTCGCTGGGTGCCCGAACGGCGTGCAGCGAAGCGGCAAGTGCGCCAAACATGATATCGTGCGACTGTGCTCGGTGAGAAACTGCGGACAAACCGACCGGGGCGGTGGGCTCTGCGCGACCCACCGGCGCAACAAGGTGTGCAAAGTCGACGGTTGCAATCGACTCTACGTGCGCTCGACACTCGGCCTCCCCGTCGACATGGGCTTCTGTGCCATGCACCAGCGCGCGCTCGACCCGTCTTCCCTACTGGAGACCTACGACGACGACGACGACGACCAAAGGGATGCACTGCTGTAGCCAACCGGCTCAACCGTCGCCACCCCGCGCTCGGTAGCATGGACTTTCTTGAACGATAGATCCAGGCCATTGTGGCGCACAAGCTCCTTGCCGCCATGTGGTTCTATATCTTTCCGGGCAGTTTGATTACTACAATGTGTTTGTGGCGTCGCGTGGAAGTGCTGGGTGGAAGGGGCAATCAATGAGAGCGTCGTTTCCAGGGCTGCTTCAATGAGATCATGCCTCGATTATTTCGTGCGAGCTTGGGGGGTTTGAAGACACTGATCGCGCCGTCCTAGTAGCGGGCAGGAGGTGGGGGTCTTGAGGAAGCTGTTCGAGCACGTTTTGTGGGCGTTGGGGGTACATAGAGCCAGGACGACGGTCTGATGCACAACCCATCCAAATACGATTCTCCAATTGAATTTATTTAATGATTTACGTGTGGTGCCTCCTGGATCCGACCTTTGCTCTGCACCTACTATCTACTTGATTCGTCGCGCATCGGGCACCGTGTTGCATTAGCGCGACTGCGTCGGTGGTGGTTTGTGTCAATTCCAAACCAGATGAACAGTAGCTGCAACGCAATACGTTCGACAAAAATGGGATGCCAAATTGCAATCGCACACATCCCGGCGGTGGCCGTTTTCAAGGGACAGTGAATTATGGTGAATTATTCCCGTGCCGTTTCCAACGCATCAACAGTGCCTCCCGCTCATGAATTGGATGGTACACATGTTTATTTCTCGGAGCACCATCATGCATAACGTTGTCGTGCATGGGATATGCCTGCACGGTTTGTCAACAGTGTAGCTGGCCCGACAGGTTTCTAACAAAATGCGATTTATGGGTGCGTACATCCTTTTGTTCAAGCGTTTTGAACGGTGGGCCCTTGGGGTTGCTCGACCACTCTCTCGTTTACAAGGTGGTCGGCAAGAAAACTTGAAGGTTCGTTTGCCTCCCATCGTCTCGGCCGCCCGCCCATTCGCATGCGGGCCTATCGTAAATATTGATAGAACCAATCAAATCCGTGTCTACATGATTCGAAGATCCCATTGGTGGGAATGGAAAGATACTAGCACCTTCAACATGGACACAGACTTGAACCCATATGCTGTACGTACTGACGTTATGGCGAGACCGGTACCGTAGAATTGTTGGCACTTGCACCAAGTCCAGCATTGCGTGGAATCCATGCGTAGCGTTATTTGTATGGGCACCTGCACGAATCACAGTGCTGGGTGGGTGTGATTGATTCGACGGCAGGTGCGAGCCCGACACGCTTTTCGTGTCCAGGTCCTTGAGTGCACTACGATTACCGTTCATCGTCAGCGTTGGCTGCTGCGGCTTTGCTGATTTGACGGCGGGCTCAAGAGCCAATAGCAGACGAGCCAGCAACGTCGGCTGAATAGTAAACGTCGTTCGTGCGGTGTTCTCAACACGCGGTAGGGCCAACGCATGTCGACACCTGTGTCGTCACTGCTCCCGCATAAGCCGCGACCTGGGTGCACCGTTGGGTCACTTTGTCTCCTCGACGATGGACGTACCAGTGATTGTACTCGATACGGCGCCAAGGTCCGAAAATAGTCGGAACGAGGTCATGGTTTTCCGCTCAAGGGTAGAGGCGAGATGTGGCAAGGAGCTGTGACTTTGCGTCGATCCACAAACGCGTATACAGTAGTAGTGCAACCATATACTAGTACAGTGTATGGGCGTATTTCGCGTTAGCTTTATTACAAAGAGTTCGCATACGTAGAGACGAGCAATCTCCGTCTTCTTCGCTCGCTCGCCGGGTCGTGGCTGCGCAAGCGGCGGCGCGGGGGCTCGTCTTGCTCTTCTGTGGTCGTCAGGGGGCTCTTGTGGATGCGGGTGAGGCGCGCTGCGTAAAGGTCCTTCAAGTTTTGCCGCCGGTGGTGAAGCTACGCAGTTTATTGAGGTCATCCAGAGACACCAGCGACTAAGGCGGGGTTAGCGACTGGGGGTCGCGGTGCAGGACGATCGGCAATGTGATCTTGGTGCGGCCTAAAAACGGGGCACCTCGGGCGGGGCACAGAAGCGGGCGGTGGCAATGTTGGCAGGGACGTCTTGCTTCAGGCGCACCACGTGGCCGAGCAGGCACCAGTGCTAGCGGGCAACGATTTCGCTCAGCGGGACGCAGTCGCAGCGGTCCTAGAGCGCGCCGTCGGCGAGCGTGTTCGGGTGAAAGATAACTAGAAGACGATGCAGCTGCCGGCGATTGAAGCTGTCAAGGCCCGCCAGAATCGTCGGCATCGATGCTTGTTTCTTGCTCGTTTGGGCAGAATGGGGCCAGAAGAAAAAGGAGATAACCGTTTGGTTCCTGCCGACGTACCTCGGGTCTTGGGCAGGCACGGACGCAGCAACAACAATGACATTCGACGTTGACGCAAGGAGGATCCGAATGTGGTCTCTTCTTTAGAGTCGCACGAGAGAGCCCGACGTGTCATGACGACGAGGCATCATCCGCGTTGACCTCGCGGTGTGGCAGCACTGCGGCCATTTACGTTATGCAGAATGATAGAATGCACAATATTGTCTATCCTTCATTACAACACTGCGAGGTTGGAATCGTATCTCGCCTGCCTTTCGTAGGACTCGGAACCATGACCTTGATGGCCAAGAGTACATTGGGAAGAAGGAAATGGCGTCATTTTCCCGTGGTACGGTAGCCGGAAAGGGTGCAATGGTGCAGCACCTGCGCGTAGCATGTCTCGGCGCGGCTGTCTACGCGGGCGTCGTCGTCGCGTGCGCGCCTCGATGCGCTAGCGCTGCATTTAGCGCTCTTTGAAGGCAACTTACGCGACGTGCAGCGATGGCTGCGATGCCACCCGACGCATCTCTCGCCGCGGGCCGTCGACTGCGCGACACGGTGTGCTCACATGGAGCTTGGCGAAAGGCACGTCGGCGGCGGTCGACTACGCGGCCATGATCGGCCACATGGGGCTGCGCACGATCCTCCTCGCTGGGCTCGTATCGGGCCATGGATGCTGCCGCGACACATGGCCATCTCGAGATGCTCTGGCACCTGCACACGCACACGTCGCTCAGCCCAAGTCTTCGTGCGATCGACGGCGAACGGCCACTTGCATACTGTCCGCTTCCTTGACGAGCATCGGACGGTAGGTTGTTCCGTGGGCGCCATGGACGCTGCCGCCGGGAACGGCCACCGGAGTGCTGTGCGCTATCTGCACACGCACCGAGACAAAGGTGCTCGGTCCTTGCGATGGACTCGGCGGCCGCGCAGAACGGCTAATTAAACGTCGTCCAGTGGCTCCACGCACACCGCGTCGAAGGCGGCGCCGAGGCCGGCGTTGTCGAGACGCGGGACGCGGGCTTTGAGGACAGTGCAGATTTTATGCGGTCGCATTGCGATCTCCGCGTCGAGCGCACATCGGTGGCCGACGGCGATGAGTTGGATGCGTCGGCCGACGACCCTAATCACCGACGCTGATCCGTGTTGTAAGATCATATTCATCTATTCCTGGTAGGAACGTTTACGTGGTGTACCAGCATCCCAGGGGATTAATTCGGCGTGTCGTGTCTCAATACGGCCAACCCATTGGCTATAATTCTAGATTGGCTGACCAATTAAACGCAGTTTCATTGGTCTCAGCCAATCGCATCGCGCGGAACGTGTCCTGTCAAGTGCGATTTTGGAGTTTCTGTTAAGTGCTGTCACATGATTCACATTATACTCGATTTTGTAAACATTAAGTATGACGCACTTATCAGGGGTACATTTATAAGTGCGTCGAAGCCGCACCTAATAGAGCCTCTCAGCGCGCGTTGATTTCCGGACAGCGGAAGCGCGCGGAGACGACCGTCATGGCAAGGACACCCTCTAGAACCATGGGGCATCATGGGAAGCAGGTGAAGCCACGAACGGTGGACGAGGCGGAGCCCTTCCAGAGCGGCAAGCGCAGAGGATGCAAGAGACCCGAAGGAAGGCAAGACTCGCGAAGCGTGAGCAATCCGCCGCAGCGACCTTATCGACGGAGGCCAACTCGACTCATGACGAAGGCGTCAAAGATGCTCTGGAAGTGCCAGGTGACCCAGATGACCCAGGTGCGATGCCACGTTGAAGACTGCAGCAAGCGACGACGGCGCGTTGGCCCGGAAAAGTCTGCGCACCGCAGCGCAGCGAAGGTCGCGCGTTGACTTTTGTCTAGGCCAACGCGCCGTCGTCGCAAATACTGGTAAGCAGTGCTTCGCATTCAAAAGTTCAACTGTGGCACGTGGGCCCTGACGCCAACGAGCCTTGCGGGCCTTGACAGCTTCCATCGCCGACAGCTGCACCGCCCTCTAGGTATCCTTCACCGGAACACGCTCGGCGACGTCGCGCTCTACAAGCGCTGTCATAGCGTCCCGCTGAGCGCGATCTTCGCCCGCCAGCGCTGGCGCCTGCTGGGCCACGTGCTGCGCATGAGTGTAGAAGTCCCTGCCAACATTGCCGCCGTCCGCTTCTTTGCCACGCCCGATGCACCCCGTTTTTAGGCCGCACCAAGATTACGTTGCCGATCGTCCTGCACCGCGACCTCCAGTCGTTGACACCGCCTCAGTTGCTGGCGACTCTCGAGGATCTCAACAAACTGCGCAGCTCGCCCCCGACGGCAAAGCCTGAAGGCTTTTACACAGCGTGTCGTCATGGGCCTCACCCGCGGCCGCAAGCGCCCCCGGGCGACGACAGAAGAGCAAGACGAGCCCCCTCGCCGCCGTCTGCGCAGCCACGGCCCGGTGAACATATAATGAAGAAGAAGATTGCTAGTCTCTACGCACTGGTCTCTACGTATGCGAACTCTTTGTAACAACGAAGATAGCGCGAAACACGTTCATATATATATTCAAAAGTTCCTACCAGCTCACCCCGCACGGGACCTGTTATATATATGAACGTGTTTCGCGTTATCTTCGTTGTTACAAAGAGGTCGCATGCGTCTATTGTCAACGAAATCCACACGCGAACCACGACGATGGCGACCGCCTTTGTACCACGTAGTTGGGAGTAGCAAGGGAATTTTATGGCCTTGGTACAG